CCCCCTGACCAATCCATTAGTTACAATGTAGGGTCTTTTCTGCTTCCTAAATATCTCTTGTGTCCTCTGCTTGCCCAGGAAGATCATCTCTTACCTGGATTACTAGAGTAATTTCCTCAGGAGCCTTTCACTCCTTGTTCCAAAAACAAGTCACTTTCTACTCTGCCATCAGAGGAATATTTCTAAGATATGTCTCATCTTGATATTTCCCGGCCTAAATGGCTCCTCAATATGTTCAAGTACAGGTCACACCTATGAGCAGGAATGCCCCCCATGACCTGGCCCTACTCATCTCTTTAACCCCCTCTCCCATCACCGCCCCAAAAAAGTGCCCACAGCCCAACCATACCGGTCACACCGCAGCCCAGGCTTCTCGAACCTCTGAGCACTGGGCCTTTGTTCATCCGATTTCCTCAGCCCCTTCCTACCAGGCTCACTTCTTCCTAAGCTACAGCTCTGGCTTCTTCATACTCTCACTCCCCTGTGCTCTCCTCCACCAGAGAAATCATCAAAATGTACTGAATTGTATGCTCGCTTGTTTCCCTCTTAAACCACTCTTGGAGGACAGGGAGTTTAGGTTGGTCACCATTGCATCCTCAGAACCTCTCAAAAAACTAGCACACATGTGCTGAAAAAAATGAATCAGAGCCCCCTAGAGAGATTCACTTACTCTCTAAAGCCATTCATTCATCCATCTAATGAGCATTCATTGGACGGTCACAAGTACTAGGCATTATTCTGGGTGTCAGGTGTGCAGCCTTATCCATTGCTGGCTGGGGTTTTATACTAATACCCAGAGGCAGAAACAGAAATGGGACCTGAAGTATAAAACGTGCAATCCAGTAATTTGTCCCTTCCTTTATTCACCATTACCCATTTAGTGAGCAGCTACTCCCTGCCTACCACTCTATTCAAAGACTTTACACACACACACACACACACACACACACACACACACACGTCAAATACTGGTTTAGGGTCTCTGTCTCCTCCCCACCTTATTTCTCCCCCTAAAAGGTAAGCAATGTGAATTGCTTAGTAAATATTTGTTGAATTGTAGCATTTGGACAGATGGTTAGCTATGAAAGGCTACATATCGAGGCACAGTCTTTCCCTGCAATATGTTCTGATCTCTGTAAGAAAAAAAGTAAAAACAAAGGTAATTCTCAAACAGTATCCACCATTTAGAGGACAATGGCACTTCCTGCTAGGTCAGAGTTTTCTTCCACAAGCAGGGCACCCGTGAACTTGGCAGAAGCTTTGCCCACCTAGTTGCTGAGTTCTGCAGCCAGTCATACCCTCCAGCTTCCGCTGTCAGAGGCAAAAAGAACAAGATGAGCCAAAGAGGCTCCTTTACACTGGAGAGGAGGCCCCGTGCTGCCTGGGATGGTGCATGCGGCCAGTACCAGGGGAGCTGAAAGTCCTCCGTGGACCCCAGTAGAAGTCCCCCTAGTCTCTAGGGAACTCTTTCCGAGCAGGAAGTTTCTGAAGTTCCATCTCCTCTCTGGAGACCCTGGCACAGAATTCTGCCTGTCCCCCAGGGTGACATAGCGTGCCATTGTGATCACATGGTTCCTCATCTGGGGTTTCAAATCCCCTTTATGTGGGATAAGAGTGACTACACAATTCTCCCAGCCTAGGCGCTCTTTAAAATTGGTGGGAACTCTGTATCTAATTCCAAATTCCTCCCTAGGGCTCCTCTACTTCCCCCGCAACTGTTCTGTCATTCTCAGATGGAGGAACGAAGCTAAGGCTACAAGAGTTCAGGCAGCCCTGAGAAGGAGCTCGTGTATTTCTTAGAACCAAAGATGCTTAGAAGTGGAAAGAAACTTTAAAAATCCCCCATAGCCCTTTATTCAGCAGATCAGAAAATGGAACCCCAGATGGATCAGTCTGCTGCAGATGACAACTTACCACAGACTGCGTGGCTTAAGCAACGTAATGTATTTTTCACAGTTCTGGAGGCTGACCATTCAAGATCAAGGTGTCAGCAGAATTGGTTTCTTCTGAGGCTTCTTTCCTTGGCTGGCAGACAGCCACCTTCTCTCTGTGTCCTCACATGGCCTTTCCCTTCTGCGCACATCCTGGGTGTCTCTTTGTCCAAATGTCTTCTTCTTATAAGAACACAGACCAGGTTGGATTAACATTTACTCTACTGGCCTCATTTTAACTTAATCACTTTTTTGGAGGTCGTTTCTCCAAACATGGTCATATTTCAGTACCAGGGGTTAGGCCTTCAACATACGAATTAGAGTGGGGCACAATTTGACCCATAACCCCAGGGATATTACTGGTTCCCAGGCAGCCTCACAACTGGTTTCTTCTTAACATTGAGCTCTCAAGGAGACCCTCTCTGGCCATCAGATTCAATGTAATACTCCTCACACATTTTGATCCAAGGACTCTATTTCCTTTTCTTCATAACCCTTATCATTTTTCACCGTGAGAAGAACCACATGTAAAAAGCTTTAGGAGAAACTCCAAATTACTTGTCCTGGCTAATAAAGCCCTAATGGGATGGAGCACCTACCACCCTCTTCATTATTATCTCCTTCACGCTCTTCTCCTCCCTCCGCACCGCGAACAGCCTGGCCTTTATTCTGTCCCTTGAAACCACATTCCAACTTCCAGGCTTTTGCACTTGCTCTCTTCTTGGGCTGGCATGCCCCTTCCTCAGACTGTTCTTGCCATTCAATGTAGTCAATAATATGACTTCTTTAAAAGGTCTTCTGTGGTCAGCCAACCAAAAGCAACGCCCAAGTTACATGTCATTAAACCAACACAGCTGAACTTTTTGCAGAGCACATATTCCCCCTGATATTTTCCTTATTACTAATTTATTGACTTGTTAATGTCCGACTCCCCATCCCTGCCATCCTCCACTCCACACAGAGAATATGACGGGAGAACGGGCTGCTTCTACCCCGTTCCCCACCATATCATCTACACAATGAAGAATGCCTGTTCCATTGCAGGTACTCAAAAAGTTAATAGAATATGTGCATGAGTGAATGAACGAATGAATGAATGAATGAACGATGTACTAGACCAGGGTTTCTCAACCTCAGCATTATTGACAGTTTAGGCCAAATAACTCTTTGCTGGGGCGGGGCTGTCTCATGCATTTTAAGATGTGTCACAGCATTGCTGACCTGTACCTACTAGATGCTAGTGGCACCCATCTCCCTCAGTCATGACAACAAAAATATCTTCAGACATAGCCAGATGGGCCCTGGGGGACAAAATCACCCCAGTGGAGAACCGTTCACTTCACTGTGAGCTCCCAGGTGGTAGGAACTGTATCCAAAACCATCAGATACCTCATATCCACACATAGAAGCTCGATAAATGTTTATTGAAGAAAAAGAGATTAGAGTTTCACAAGTTGCTAAAAATAAATCAAGAAATGTTCCAGAACCCATTCTCTCAATAGGATTTGGCCACTTACCATTTATGAGATCTTAAGTAATTGACTTAGTTTTGCCAAGTCTCTGCATCTTCATCTGTTAAACAGGAATATCAAAAATTCCTACACTGGGACCCTGCCTTCTAAACAATAAAGTATAATACAAATGTGTGATTAATTATTTATTGATTCCCAAGCTGTGCATTTTTACTTCACCTCTTGCAAACTCTTGCCTGAAATAACTTCAAAAGAGAACATTTCCTCCTCCTTGCCAAAGCCTTGTTTTAGTGTTTACCTGACCCCTTTTCTCTCCAGAAGTTGGGGGTACTTCCTGAGTTTTGTAAAGTTCTGTCCCTTCCTCTCACCTTCTCCTGTTTAAGTTCAGACTCACATACAAGGTCTCTGTCTCAAACAGCTCTCAGGAAAAGTTCTGTCCCATGTATCATGGCCACTGAGCTGTTTTAATGTTTCTATTTTAGAGTCTTCAGAAAAAGTAATTTCCACTGTAAATATTATCTTTCCTCCAGGCTCCATTGATTTCTCACTCTTCCCTCAAAAAAGCTTCCAGACAATTCATCTCTTCCTCCCTCACCCAATGATACCACCTTGTTTTTATCTCTAGCACAGCACAACTCCAAGTCTACCCTGAGTCAGAGGAGGAGATGGATCTTCAATTCCAGCCAGACTTTGAGATCCTTGGGGAGGGGAAGGGGTCCGGGGGTTTGGGGACAAGGAGATTATAACGTGCTCCTCACCTCCCTCTGCCGCCACATCCCGAAAGAAAAAAGAAGTTAACTATCAGAAATACGATCTCCTAGGATTCATGAAAGTCCATGGATCTGCTTTGAATACTAAAGACAAGTCATATTTCTATGAATTCTGAAATATTATCATTTACAGGATGGGTTGTTTATTAAAGCAAAAAAAAAAGAAAAGAAAAGAAACCCACAGGCACACACAAAGACAAGCTACGAGCGCCATCTCATGGACAAGTCAGCCACTGCCTCGTCAGCATCTGCCCTTCCATTCCTGGCCTGATCCAAGAATGGGCGCAAGGCAACTCCAGGGAGAAAGGGCACTGCTATAGTCTACAGTCTCTCACACACATAGACTTGTTGGCTCTGTTGCCTGCCTGTCACAGTCAACAGTGACGTCTGCATCTGTCATGGTTTCAATCCCCCATTCACTTGTCTGTAAGGATCTGGACAGAAGCCCAAGCAGCCACAACAGACAACGTCTGAGAGGAGTCTCCTTGCTTGTAGTCACTTAGACTGTGCTGGGATGGACCTGGGCTCACCACATGGCCTCTAAAGCACAGAACTCCTTAATTGCAGCTCCTGGGGTTTGCTCTGGCCATTCCCTAGGCTCGGGTTTTATCTCTGTTCCATCCTCCCCTGAACCTGAGCTTTCTGAGTGAAGACCCATACCCAATGTTGCTCATGCTGCTTTCTTTCCTGCTCAGAGGCTACTGACCAGACTCCTCAAATATTGCCAACTTTCTGGAACTCCCACCTTGGTGGTGTGATAGGGGGGAACTTCACTTTCAGATTGAACCTCCCTGACCAAATATACACCTGCATAAACACACGAGAACTTGCCACAACTGGTGCATGTATGCTAAAACTGGAATGACACAGAGATTAGCCTGGCCCCTGCACAAGGATGACATGCAAATTTGTGGAATGGTCTGCATTGTTTGCCGTGCCCCAGTAGGTATCCTCACACCCTTTGATTATTAGCTTGGAAAAAAAAAATATGAGTCAAAGCATAATGTGTGACAATAGCAAAATTGTGACTTTTCTCTATTGAAACAAAGAACTTACCACATCCCTTGGACAATGAGGGGTGGATCCCCAGGCTGCCCTCTGGGGCACCGGCTCCTGCCCATTGGTTTTCTCAGCACCCACCTGCTAAGTTCAGCTTTCTCTCCATCATATCCCACACCTGAGCTCATATGAACTACAGCATGTCCATCCAAGTCAAAGACCCCAACACGCCATGCATGTGTCCTCTAGCCAGTTCATGATAATAAAAGGTACACTTGACAGCAGCATAGAGAGAGTGGGCATTTTTGCCCAGAAAGTTGTTCAGGTCCAGCAAGGCAAACTTCATCATGTAGCGTCCAATGATAAAATCTTACACACAATCGTGAAGAGGATTGCTAGAGTAAGGATCACAAACTCAAACGGCTCGCAGCGTCAGGAAGGTAAGTGATGGAGTGACGTGGGTTGAGGTCAGGTATAAGATGATCCAGGCCACAACCCCCTGGAAGCACATTCCCACCACATGGCTGACTTTATGTGACGAGACTGCTGGGTTATGGTAACCAGGTATTTGGTTAAACATTATTCTGGATGTTTTTCTAAGTAGCTTTTTGGATGAGACTTAAATTTAAATTGGTAAACTTGGAATAAAGCAAAATGCCTTCCCTAATGTGGGTAAACCTCATCCAATCAGCTGAACAAGGACTGAGTTCTCCTGGCAGAAAAGGACTCAGCCAAAACACTGCTTTTGAACTCCGACACCAATTCTTCTGCGTGTCCAGCCTGCCAGCCCATCCTGCAGATTTTAGACTAGCCATGCCCCCGCAATTTTGTGAGCCAATTTTCTTAAAATAAATAAAAACACACACACAATCTTGTTGCTTCTGTTTCTTTGGAGAACTCTGACTAACACACCTGCTTCAAGGTATCCACTATCTCACAGATTCGGCTAATCCTGTGGACCAAACAAAAGTGTTAGACCACTACCAACCTATAGGCCAGCAGCAAGGACGTCTGACCTAGAACTGAGACAGATAGGACTAGTGCTATTCTTAGACAAACTTGTGGCATCTCTGCCCATCCAACTCAGAGACATCATGCCTTCTTGCTCCCACGCCTCCTGAACACCCACACTTCTCATTAGCTCCCTCTTCTAACCAGAGTCCCACCCTTTCCTCAGCCCTAGTTCAGGAAAGAAAATAGATTGCTTAATATTTACACAGGCCAGGAACATAATCGTCACAAAAATTCCATGTTGTAGATAAAATTATTCTCCCACATTTATAGATAAGGAACAAACTACAAGAAGTTCAGTAATTTACCCAAAGTCACACAGTAATCAGAGGTGTGGGCAAATAGTCCCTGGACTCTCTGAGTCCAGAGCTCAAAGCATACCCAGCTGGCTTAGTGTAGATCCTCTAAAAAAACAAAAACAAAAAACCTCCATTTTCAGAAAGGCAGTCTGGTTTGTTCATCTCCCAAAAAGATAGCATCAGCCTTCTGCCACAAGCCAGGGTACTGTCAGTGTTCACCATAGAAGACGGGCGACACCCACATGTCAAGCTCATTGGGTTTCTCCAGCAGAACAGCAACAGAACATCCAACATCCGCCACACAGCTGCAGCCAGAGCAGTAAAGCTAAAGCTGAAATCTGATCCTGACGTACCCTGTTTAAACCCTTCCTATGGCTTAGGGATTGCCTGCCTCTTGTCAGGATTTGCTCTGGGAGTCAGAGCGAGGATGGATCTTCCGATGGAGTTGAAGGGGCCATACCAGAGGGGAAAGTAGGTAGTACAGAGGCTGGGCACCTGGCTGGGCCAGGTAACCCGTGCAATCTGCAGAGATTTGAAAGAGAAGAGTGTGCGGCCACCTTCCTATGTTGTCCTTCTTGTCAGCTAGGAGAATGGAGTGTGGCCTGGCTTCTCTGTGACTTCCTCAGTCTTCCGTATATGATGGCACATCATGCTCTTTCCAGGAAGATAAAGCCACTGGGCTGTGCTTTATCTTCCTGGAGATAAACAGGAACAGAGAGAAACAGGGGTATGGAGAGGAACTCTCTCTGTCCAGTGTCTCACTGTCAGTGAACAGGTTACCCCTGCCTGAGCTATTTCTCAAGCTGACCTCCTATGGGATATTAAGAGGCCTGCAGGTCAGCTCTGGAGTGAATTTTGGCAAGAGGGGGGCCAAAGGAGGACAGGCTTTCTGCCAGATCCTGTTCTTGTGAAAAATCAGTTAGCCCATTCTGACCAGACTTATAAAATCTTCTGCAATAAATGTTTCCTGAAAATGTCAGGGGGATTTTTTCCATCTTTACATGCTAAGGTTATAAGAGAGTCATTGAAGCACAGAATCAGTCGTGCAAGCTGTAGAAACCAAATATCTGATCCAAAAAAGAAAAATGCCCCCAAGCTCTGTTCCCTTCATCTAAGCTCCTTTCTAGTCGTTGCAAAGGTCAAAGACTAATTTCATAAATCCGTTTGATATGTTGAGATGAGGTTGTTACAAAATCTAATTGCTTGGAAAAGATGATTTGATGGAGATACTCAGTAATAAATGCATCTTCGGTGATATCATCACTTCCACCCCCTGAAGGGTGCCTGGGGGCCCAAATACGGGTGCTGGTGGGGCCTGCCAGTTCTGTGGAACCGGAGGAGCCTAACCCCCTAGAGGTTAAGTAATGTATTCAGGGGAATGCAGCCAGTTATGAGCAAAAGGGCCCTGTGTCTTGATATCAGAGTCATTTTTCTGTTCTCTATCCCAGCAGTCTTCAAACTGGGTTATAGTCACATGACAGCCTCCCGAGGCATAGACAGGCACCAATAAAATCATTTTAAAGGAAACAACTTCCAGCTCCACAATTAGCAAATGCTTATTCTTTTATATGATTGCTCTGTATCAGAAAGCATCTTAAGATAGCAAGCCAGTTCTCCTTTCCCAGCCCCCTTCCCCATTTTTCACCCATTCTGGAAAAAAAAAAAAAAAAAAAAAAAGACACTTTTCAGCCATGCAGTGCAAGAATCCCAAGGTACCAATCAAAAGGACAATTTAAAATTTTGCTATCTGCAGAGCCATTATTAGGGAAATACAGCCTTACCTCATATTTATCATTTGGGTAAGCATTTCCAATAACATTTTACCATCATGACTAATATTTATTAAAATGTATAGCATATACACATGTGTTATTTTGATCAATTGTGAACTAATAATGATTATAATGATGACTCAATTCAAACAAAATTTGTTTTATAACTTGGAGCCTTGGAGTTGCAAGAAATAACTATTTTTCAATGTGGGAACATACTTTTATTGCCAAAGGGTTTTAATGGTTGATCAATAAAAGATCTCCAAACATGAAAATATGTTACAATAAGAAAAAATTCTGTGATGGAAAAAGAATGAAAATGTGATTTTTTAAGGTGGAAAGAGGTGATACAGAATTTTTACCAGCATCGGGGTTCTTGGATTCCCCCACATAGAAATCGAGAGGAAACCCCAGAGAAATTTGCAGACAGCTTTTATTAAGCTCATGCTTGAGCACGCGGGAAGCAGCGCCGAGGAAAGTCCTCTGAACTGGCTCAGAGGCTGGCTGGGTGGGGCTGCTTTCATAAGCTGGGGACAGAGTGGGTTATCGTGACAAGGTGGTCGTGTGAAGGGTTCGGGCATGGAATTTGCCACATTAGCGATCCTCCCTCCAGTCGCGTTGCCTGGCGACTGTGTTCACGCCTGCGCCTGCGCGGTGGGGGCAAGGTGGCAGACTTCTCATTACTGCCTCCCTAGAAAGGTCACGTAATTGTCAGACTTGGATCAAATACGCACGTGGGTCAGTAGTTTCAGCATCGGCAGGCAGTTCGAAGAGAGAGAAAATCAGTTGCCTCTACTTCTGAGTAGCAGGGCAGGGGTCGCGACCTTCTTCGGTCAGTTTATCTGGTCTTCCTTCTGACCCCCTCGTCTTACCTTGGCTTCTTGACAACCCACTGTTTTTTTATTCCTGGACCCAAGTCCCTATGCTGCCTCAAAAGTTTTTGCTCTTAAGTCAAAACCTGTTCATGTTGTTGCTGTTTTCAATTAGGTGATAGTGGGTGTCAAAAGACTATGGAATCTTTACACCACTGGATTAATGTAAAAGAGTGATGTATTATTTTACATTAAAATTTTCAATATTATAATATATAGAAGTGTTATCCTTTGCAATTATTTAAATTTATGAAGAAAAAAATATAGGTTAACTTAAGGAATCTCTAAGGGGGCACATAATTTTTTGAAAAACATTTAGGGCATAAAGGGCAAAAATCTTTGAAGACCATTGCTCTTGACTTCCGTTTCTGATGAACTGTAGACAAGGTGGTAAAGAAGATCTGTGGCCTTGGAACCCTGTGCTGCTGTGGCGCCAACAGGTCAGCCCGAGTAGCGTGCTTGTAAGGAGACCGCTCAACGCCTCGCAGACCCATTCCCTCTTCCTGGAAATAGAGCTAAACCACACTTCCAATGCTCTGCCCCTGGGTAACAAAAGTCTTTCCTGCTCTTATAAATTTGTTTACCTGTTTAACGCAGTCAAATACAACAGGTTGTCAAATAACATTATTTCTTAATGTCACTTACCTGTGGTAAAATTGGTTTTATTAAGCATTCAAAAACCTACCCATGATGTTCAGTGAGGACTTATTGTAGATGTAAGTTTGCCATTAAAGAAAGGGCCTTCCCAGAGACTTCAATATGTTGATCTTTAATTAAAACCTCTATTTCCCCAAGTACATGGACTTACGGGACCCCTCCCCTGAGTACATAGGCGTCTGCAAACCCAGCTGGCTCTCCCCGCAGCCCCTGGAGGTACTGAGGCTGTCTTCTCCCCAGGCCTTTGCCCCTGCTGCTCCCTTCCTGGTGAAGGCCCATGTGCTTTCTCAACTCCTCTCTCCATGGGGCCAGAACTTCCC